GTAAATACACTCTGAGCAGACAAACTGGAGCTAATCATTTTATTAAGAAGCAGATATGTCTTGGAAATATACATCTGGCATACAAATAGCATGTGTAGATGAAATTGAATAAGCATATTTGGCAACAGAACCAGGAAAGTTTCCTAGAGAATGCATTGGAGAATCCATGTAATTCATAAGTGATTTGTGGAAGAAAGTGTCCATCTGAGCTCTGTTATTAATTCTCCCATATAAAAAATAATGATGTAAGCTGATAATGAAATGTAACGTATTAGTAAATAAATGAGGGACAGCGTTTCATACTTATACGGCTTTCCAGCAGAGGATTAAGGAACTGATGTTGCTGTGCATGCAATATTTTCATTTCTAATGTCTGCTAAGACTCTTCAAATTACATGTGCTAATGTAGATCGATCTGATGGAATGCTAGAAATGTAAATTCTGCTTCTGAATGACCAGAGGTTTCTGTGAAACCTCTGGAGCCTACCATAAAAGGTAACCTGTGTTAGTGTGGCCAGATGAGCTGTGCACATGTGCCATTTTGGTGGCTGAGAGTTGCCTGAGCACCATGGACAGAGACCAACAAAGCCAGCGAGTGTTGACTCCATGGAGAGATTACTTCACCTCTAATCTTCTAGATCACAGAGCTCAAGAAAACTGTTAGTGCTGAGATCCTTGACCAGCAGTTTTTCCAAGTAGGTGTCTTTTTCACAGATTCCCTAAAGTCTGGTTCATCTCTGTTGAGGTTTGTCTCTTCAGTCGTGATTGGCCTTTCTTTCTCCATAGTGCTGATGCTTCTCAAAAGGCTACCTCTTAGTTTGGTTCTCCATTTATACTTAGATGCAGAGACACCTCCCTGTAATAATACTCTTTATCAATAAATAAAAAAATATTTTAAAATAATATTTATTTTATTTTGGAGATAGCCACATTCTTCATGAATTATGGCTGACCAGCGTGCAATAGTTTGTAGGATTCTCTGTACAGTAATTTATAAAGTCTCTGTGATGTTCAGATATTGTGTCAAATTCATCCTAAATAAGTCTAAACCTTTAATCTCTGCTTATCTGTCAAAGCTCTTTTTTTTTCATTTTTTTTTCTCTTTTTCTCTCCCCGTTTCTCTCCCCGTTTCTCTCTCCATTTCTTCCTTTTCTCTCTCTCTTTTTTTTTTCTTTTTTTTCTTTTTTTTCCTTCTTCTACGAGCTCTATTAGAAATAAGAAAATACTGGATTTTCTTTCTGTCTGTTTTTAGGTATATCAAAGTTTTATTGCATATAGAAACATCGAAATATCTTGAACAGAGAATTCATAACTGAGTCACACAGTCTACTTATTTCTACTGCCATTATACTTGGATATCATATCTTTTGATCAAATTGAGATATTTTTATCAGAAAAACTCGTGTCAGTATCTGGAGATGTGCATAATAATAGAGTAGAACTGTTGTTTTTGAAATATACCTTCAGTGAAATTTTCAGACAGCAAATGAGGAGAGCTGCATTTCAGATACTGTATGATTAATACAACTAAGATGCTTAATTCCCAGTGGTTTGAAGGTCTGTCGCTAGAGAATACACTGCACCCTCAAAAAAAGGAATGATCGCTAACTCAATACTTTGTGGTCTCTGAAAGATTTATGTTAAGTTTTGCAGAATCTGTCCTCACATTTTGCTTTTAAATTCTTCATTTTCTTCAAGCTTTCAATGACAAAAGAAATAAGGAAGGACTTTTAGCTCTTGTCATTAAATAAGTCAGGCAGAAGGTACAATCTACTTGTGTGGCCACAGCAAATGATGCCAATACAGAAACAGAGATCTTGCAAGTATAAGTAGTATTGATACTCCATTGAGAGAACGAATACTGAGCTTCCAATTTTTTTGGAGGAAAATATTATTTCTATAGATTCATTTTGTGCTGATGCATTTTAACAAGCCAGTGCCAAATAATCTTCCAAAACTGTAGGTTTGTATTAAGAAATGGTTATGAAATATAATATTTAAAATGCTTTCTGTGAATTCTTTTTCTTAACTCAGTAAAAATTAGCTAGTCTGGACTCATAAATTAATGATGTAAATTTGTCTAATTTGCTGGTTTTCCAAGGGGGATTAATAGGAGACTCATTAAATGTGTGTTAATTCTACATTTCAGGTCACCTACAGGAAATATCTCTATTATATAATTCAGCTTTGCCAACATGGGGAGAAATTGTCTTTTTTTGAAACATCAGAGATAGTTCAAGATTGCATATAGCATTTTGAGTGGAAAAGATGTACTAGTGTTGTTTTGGGTTCCCTAAACTTGAAGTTTAGCCATCTTAATATAGTCACATTTAAGAAAAGTTTTAAATTCCAAACGTATTTGAATGTATATGTGACAGAAAATCTATTAAATATGTAGCTTTTCACTTAAAAAGTAGATGATGAAAATTTTAAAGCTCCACAGATTAACTGTAGACTTGCTACTTTTCCTGCTCCTTGATTAGTATGGTTTGCAGATCTAATTTCCAAAAGACATGGCATAGTTTTCCTTTCAATATATGCATGTATCACAAGCCTTTTTTTTTCTAGATGCAGATAATTGTTAACTCATTGATTATATTATGATGATTCATAGTTTTTTAACAAAAAATATTTTTGTTTGTTTTTTTTTTGAGTCTGGTTTTAGCAGCATAGTTAGCAGAAACTATCAAATTAACAAACTTTCTCCTGTGGTGGGACATGGGCTTAGTTCTGTTTGCATCAAGCTTTCTATTCTATGGTTAACTGCACTTGATGGTATCAAATAGAGGTACCACATCTTTTGTTTTCCTATGTGGCAAATCATGATTGTTATTCTTCTGGTGCTAGCCAGACAGCATGATTTTCAATGAAAAAGCACCACACAAATGTTATCTTATGATAAGAATTCAGTTAAAATAAAAAGATTCACAATATTAAGGTACTGTATTCGAATTTCCTGTCCATTCTTTCTGAGTTTGACTACTTCTTGAGCATATGGAATGCATTGTAGCAAGTTTTAATATGAAAGTTAATGAAGTGATCTGAAACATATGACTGATCACATTTTGAAAATGTATTTGAAATTTTAGAACATTATATGTCTAATCAGAAAGCCTGAAATCTTTACTAATTATGTTTTATAATGTTTCCTCTACTCTTACACACAATTGATGTGCTTCAGTAACAGGAAATGAAGCCAATGAGCAGAGCCAAGATTGGAATCAAAGCTGCAATTTTAACTCTGTCCTTATTGCAGTGACCTCACCTTGAAGAGAATGAGCCACCACTTCTAGAAAATTCATACAAAAAGACTGTGCAGGAAAAAAATAGTGGCCAGATTTATATTCAGATTATCTGCCTGCAGGCAAGCTGTATTTCCCAGTCAGCCTGAGCAAAGCAGAATCCCTTTATAGATTCTGGTATTTGCTAGGCAGAGTAGCACCTTTCATGGAGTTTCACAGAACATGGCGGTGTTTGGGTGTTTGTGTCACACCTCTCAGCATTGTTCAGAGAGCTGAATTGAGATGCTGGTAGTGTTTTTGTGTTTGTGATCAAGGACAGTATTGCTTCTTGTGCTCTACCCACAACTTGTACAGTTTATGCTAGATCAAATGTATTCAGGCCTTAATTGTCAAATGTTTCTGATTCAGACAGGAAACGTAAAGACAAAGTAAACACATCTAGGAATTGACTTTTACAGCTAGATGGTGACAATATTTTGCTGTAGCTGAACCTTTGTTTTCCCTGTAAATACTGAGATGAAAAAAACAATGTCATCTGCTTTTAAGTCTGTAAGAAATGGAAATATTGAATAGTAAAAGATCTATGGCCCCACTTCTAGAAGTATTTTAGACTAGTCTGCAGTATGTAACTGTAACCTCCAGTTTTGTTTTGTACATCTTCAAAGCTCACCTCCTCTTGAATGATTTTCTTAGAGTGAAAACCTGTTAAAAATGAACCATGTGGATTCATACCGAAAACTTCAAGGTCCAAAATTAACACAGTTTATTTGCAAAATTAAAAATATTTTAAATCATGTCTTTCAAAATTGTTATCACTTCCTAATGAAGGGGGAATTTTTGTGCTTCCCTTATAATCTCTGGTGGAAAACAAATGCTTAAAAAATGCGAGGCAGAAAGCATGTTAAAGAACTAGCGGAGGTGACTTTTCTAGGAATGATGCAACTGTTCCATAGTGTGTCATTTAGGAATTTTTGGATTTGAAAATGAAATTTTTTACAGTTGGCTCTACTAGCATTTATTGATTTCTTCCCAATAAGGCTGATAAATATGTAACTGGCTCAGCATTCCATAGTGAATCTTGTAGATTTTTCTTATATCTCACACAGAGATGTCATTCCACTTCTCTTATGTTGTTATGATAAAAATATGGCTGAAGTTATACAGGTTTTGCTTACTCTGTTCTTTTCTGGAGAGGAAAATGAATTAGTTTTTCATAAGCTCTTTGCAAGAATAGAATATTTCTGTGAGTACTATGTGAATGAACTCACAATTATTTATTTTTTTTTTCTTTAAGAAATTAGAAGAAAACAAACAGAAGGGTCTCTACCTGAACCAAAATTATAGGTTTTGAACTGTATTTGACTGCCTGGAGCTCTGGCAGACTCAAAACCTTGTTTGCTGGGGAATGGCACTGCCTCCTCCTGTGAGAACTGTCCATTGAAGAAGTTTGAGATGGTTGATGGAAACAATCTGGAAACACAATAGCTGATGCCACAGATCCTATACATGGCTTATTAGTTTCCACTGGTGACCAAGACTCTGCAGAAAGTGTGAAGACTTTGATAGACTGTAGATGGACAACCCTTCCCAATTTTTTCTGATCCTCACTGTAAATTAGTTGGCTTATAATCTAGATTTTTGTAAATGAAAGTGTTTTTTTCCCTGCCTTTGTTAAAACATAGACATTCAAAAACTTGAAAGCAGAATAATTTTATTTTATCTTAATTCATAGAGGTAACCCCATTTAATTTTCCATAGGATTGGCCTTTGCTGCTCTCTCTTCAGTCCATCCAGTTTTTGGTTTATATGGTTCATTCTTCCCTGTCATTATATATGCCATATTTGGAATGGGACGTCATGTTGCAACAGGTAAATGTCTTTCTACTCTAAACATTTTCAGGAATATGGAACTGGAAAAAAAAGTTTTATCAATGGAAGGAATATTCTCTAAAACCTAAACAGAAATTAAATGTTTTTGTGCTTCCTTTTACAACATTTTTTTCCCTAGTTTAAGTACTTTAAAAAGCCCATTAAGGATACACTAGAGGTACTTCTGTCATTGTAACTTGATATTGTACTTAAACTTCTTTTGTAAATGTTGTTTAATAAGGGATTTTGGATTTGAACTCCTAAACTCTTTTTTTTCCCCCCAATTTCTAAGATTTTATTGTTATTCTGTAATTTTTAAGATTTTAAAATACTAATTAGAATCTGCTTCAAGATAAGATTTTAACAAAGGGTTCAGCAAAGAAGATATATGCAAACAGCAACAAAAAAGGCTCTGTCCACAACTGCTGTATAACTCTCCATGTCCATCAACAAAATTTTTTTTCTACCAGCAATTTCTGTAAGATTAATGGTGTTCTGTGTACATATACAAACAACAAGAATGATGTTTATTAGTGGAGTCAGTTGTATCAGTGTGAAGATCAGTCACTTGAATAACAAATCTCTACATCTTTTTCTTGACTACTCTTGGTATAATTGATGATTGTCTGAGGACAGTTTCTGCTGTGATAATATCAAATATAGAGTCTTACATAAACTGTTCTCAAGTTTAGTCTTATTAAATAAAAAATTTCAGAAGAAGAGGATGGGTTTTAAAAAAGAAGGGTCAGTCTGAAGAAAAAAAAAAAAAAAAAACAACCTGTAAATATCCTGAATTTTGCTTCAAAATGCAATTTATTAAAATATTATAAACCCAGGTAATATATGTTATGTCTTAAAAAAAAAAAAAAAAAAAATTCTTGTCCTCCAAAAGTCCCTTCATGTCTCAACATGACAGGAAAATTAACATTTCTGTCATAGGGTAGAGTTTAGTACTTAAAAAATGGAAAAATTGACTAAATGAAGTAAGCAGGAAAGCCATGAAAAGTGGTAGGTGAAACATTTGTAGGAAGATTGGAAAGCCAAAAAGAGGAATTTGAATTATGCTGCGGAGAGGAAGATCAAGTGGATGACTGAAAGTTCCCTAAGTGCATCAAAATCAGTAGGCTAGGAAGGAAACTGGTGGGACAGCTTTCTGAGGAGAGCGTAACCAGTGCATTCTCTGACAAGGCCACAAGATTTTTGAGTTACCACTCTGATTTCATTTACCAAAAAGGCTCTGTAGCAAATCCTGGTAACTGCAAACCTGAATTTCACCCTTATTTTTACAGACTACAGTAAAACTATAAGATCACTGAAAGTTATGT